ACAGAAACATTAAACTTTCGGCCCACTGTAGAAAGCAAACTTTACCTCTGTCTGGATCTCTAAGGGGACCACATCCAGCCACAAAGGGGAGGGTTTACTATTTATGCCTGTTTCTGTAAAGAGGCAGGTCCTCCACACTACTATTGGTGAGCTGCTCAAAGTTTTCCCCTGGAAAACACATTCCAGGATCTGATGTATCTACAAAAGGCTAGTCTTACTCAGAGAATGGTCAGAAAACAAACAAACAAAAATTACCCCATTATCAATCTGAGTAAAACATACAAGTACAAACCTCAAGTTTTTAGCAAATGGTGGAACTGAGAGGTTGAACTGCGGTATCAGTGAAAAATGGCTGTAATTTTAAAAATGCAAGCACTCTCTGCACCATTTGTTTCTACAGGGAAACAATACTGAAACCAATCAACATATACAGTGGCTACAGCAGCAGAAAAGCAGACTACAACTATCTGAATGGCTTCAGCCACTGTATAAATACAGTGGTGCCTCGCTTGATGATGTTAATTCGTTCCAGAGAAATCGCTGTAGAGTGAAAACATCAAACGAAATGAAAAAACCAATTGAAATGCATTGAAAACCCTTCAATGTGTTCCAATCGGCTGAATACCTGCTTGTCCAGCGAAGATCCTCCATAAGGCGGCCATTTTCGGTGCCTATAAAGCGAGGAATCTGTCCTAGAAAACAGTGCGGGCTTTTTTCTTCAGCCAGCGGCCATTTTTAAACCCGACGATCAGCTGTTTGCTGATCGTTGTAAGGCGAAAATTGGTTCCCGAAGCAGGGAACCAATCATCACTAAGCGAAATTCCCCCATTTAAACCATCGTTTTGCGATCGCAAAAACGTCAATGTAATGCGGATTCGTCATAGAGTGGGGTAATCGTCCAGTGGGGCACGACTGTATTAAGGTGAGGAAGGAGATTCAGGTTGCATCTGCTGTGATTGAGATGAGGTTGAACACATACCCCCACACACCACAACAATGCTGTCTGATAATAGTAGCAGGAAGAAAGCTTTCCTCCCGTTCCAGGAATACTGAATGAAATTGCTGGAATGGACCCAAAGCTATTGCTGAACTTTCACCCCAGCACTTCGGAACGAAACTGCTTGGGTGGTGGGGATAGGCTTTAATTTCACCAACATTATAGCAATTGTGTGGGGAAGGAAGGTGCAAAGGTTAACTTTTCACAGGCCCTCTTTCCTTGCATTCTTGCGTCTTCCGGGAAACATTATATAAAGAGAATTGTTCTTGTACAGCCTGCTTCCCAGCAGAGTTAAGATACCATCCTGTGCGGGATCTGGTGGCAGCAATTTGGTGGCATCCTCTAAGAACCTTGGAAGGATGGGAGGAAAAGCCTTGAGAAACTGCAAATGGCCTGTGTGTTGACCACCACTGATATAATGCTGTTTTCAAACTGAGATTGCATAAATTAAAATACAGTGGTATCTTGGGCTCCATTATCACTGCAGATGGTGACAGCAGCCACCAAATTAGAAGACGCCTACTTCTTGGGAGGAAAGCAATGACAATCCTAGACAGCATCTTAAAAAGCAGAGACATCACCTTGCAAACAAAGGTATACATAGTAAAAGCTATGGTTTTTCCAGTAGCAATGTATGGAAGTGAGAGCTGGACCATAAAGAAGGCTGACAGCCGAAGAATTGATGCTTTTGAATTGAGGTGCTGGAGGAGACTCTTGAAAGTCCCCTGGACTGCAAGGAGAACAAACCTATCCATTTTTGAAGGAAATCAACCCTGAGTGTTCACTGGAAGGACAAATCCTGAAGCTGAGGCTCCAATACTTTGGTCATCTCATGAGAAGAGAAGACTCCCTGGAAAAGACCCTCTCAAAGGCATAATATGTAGGTTGCAATACAGTCAATCCTTGAGTTACGAACTTAATCCATTCTGGAACAGCGTTCGTAAGTTGAAAAGTTTGTAAGTTGATTTCCCATTCCCCATAGGAATGCATTGAAACCCTGTTAATCGGTTCCAGCCACCATGGGTGACCTCCCTGGGGGTCCCCGCTGGCACGACTGGCGGCTTCGGAGCTCTCAAAGGGCTTTCCCCCAACACCGGAGGAAGCCCTTTGAAAGCTCTGAAGTGGAAAAGGCAGGGAGAAAGCGTGGGAAATTCGAATTTCCTGCTCTTTCTCCCTGTCTTTTTGCCTTTAGAGCTTTCAAAGGGCTTCCTCTAATGTTGGGGAAAAGCCCTTTGAGAGCTCTGAAGGCGACAAAAGGCTCCATTCGCAAAAAATGGCATTGACTTGCGAATGGAGCCTCGACCTCGTTCGTAGGTTGAGGCTCTGTTTGCAAGTTGATACCAATTTTTGCGAACAGAGCAGTTCGTAAATCGAAAAGTTCGTATGTGGGGCCGTTCGTAAGTTGAGGGTTGACTGTATACCCAACAATCCTAAAGCTCTTAAATGCTTCTCCAGAGTAAAAGGGATCCCTAGGGAGTCTTAGAACCTGAAGCTAGGGAAGGGGGAGTACAAAGTTTTTAATTAATTTAATCCCTATTGAGGGATGATGACATCACCCTAGTGTATGCAGTAAAACTGAGCAAGAAGATTTCAGCCAATATATTTTAATCAAATTGAATTATTTTGTGACAGATCGCAGATAGTCCTGAATTTAGATAACATCATTCCTGCATTAATTTATGACAGCTTCCCATCCTAGATGACTCATAGGCATCCTTCAGTCTCGAGAGACTATGGTAACATTCTCTGAATCATACCATTCACAAATTTCACGTAACTGCAGCTTCATATCTGCTGATGTGTATTTCCCTAAATTTTAAATGAATTATGAAAAAGAAGAGTCTAAGAAACAAACATCGAAGTAATTTTTTTCATTAGTACTATTCATATTAGTAAAACAGATATTAAGCCTGAAGCTCATGGGATGGTTCTGTATTATAACCATTTATCCCTGCAAATGTTTTTTATTGCTTCTCATTCTCAGAATGCATTGGCGATTATACACAAAATATACATATTTATGGTGTCAGTGTGTTTGCACAGGCATACATATGTCTAGTGTGTAGTGGTACATGAACTAAGATATGTACATACACATATATGCATAGGCATGCTGTGCCTGTCTACATGCATGCATGTGTGTATATTTATATTTATTCACTCGTTCTTGAGAAAATGGCCTTTAGCCAGAGACTGCCAGCATTGCAAGGCAGGCAAGCTCAACTGTAACATTTCCCAATATCAAAATACACATGCCTTTGGTTACGTTACCAGTGGGCATAAATTGGAGCCAGACAGTCTGTCTGTCGACTTCTGTGCTAGATTGAGCCATCAACTAGAATGACTTTTAGGAGACACAATAAAAATATCTCACAAGAACCAACACTTACAGTTCTTAAGGAGCCAGGCTGAGGAAAGAGCCTGAAATCATATCAAAAGATTGCCTTCCTTATTGATGCCAAAACAAAATGATTGAAAAGCAGGTAGTAGTGTCAGGGGAGAAGCTTCAAAATTTTTTATTCTAACAACCGAGTAGAAATATTTACTAGGAAAACTTCTGTCTCCATGGTTTTAAAAAATGCAAACATGAACATGGAAAATCTGTGAAGATTCTCAGTCATCAAGGTGAGGTTATCTGAAAGTTGAGTCATGGCAAGTGGACTTCTTTTTAACGTTTTGCTACTTATCCAAGTAGCTTCTTCAGTCTGAGGAGAGTTGGTAAGAGATCCCTGATATATTTGCCATGTTGGTTTCACTTTTCCCTAGTCTGAATAGGCTTCTTAGATGGCCAAAGGAGGTGGGGTTGAGTGAAAATCCCACTTCTGCAGTCCTTCTCCATCCATTGTCAGTGTTCTTTTTGGTGGGTGTGGTGCTGATCTTTTTGGCAACAGATGAAAGGACAGCTTGATAAATAGGAGATAGATTGTATCTAAGGCCTCCACCCCTGCTGAGTGAGGGATTTTCTATATGCACATGTATGGCCTCTCTGACTCCCCCTCTCAAACCACCTATCTTCTCTGTTCAAAATGAGTACATCTTGGTCATCAAATGAGTGTCCTTTATCCTTCAAATGAAGGAACACTGTTGATGTTCCTGAGACATTGCCCCTCCTGTGCCGGGCCATTCTTCTCTTTGTATTGGACCGCATATACTATGATCACATAAAGTTATTACTTTACATTTTATTAAAAATATTTTCAGTACATACTCCCTCTAACTAGAAGACCTGCACATTTTCTCTAGGCATGGGCCATTTAAAAATGTTTGAGATATGTGTTGTATTGTTTAAGTCCAATACAGGACTTTCAACTTTCATGAGATGTGCTATACATCAGAACACTGACAGCATGTACTGTAGCTGTGATCATTTATTGAGAGCCAGTGAAGAGCAATAGATAGAGCATCACACCACGGCTCAGGAGATCTGGATTCAGTTCCCACTAGGACATGGAAAATCACACCCAGTGATTCTGATAAAACTATACCATTCCTTAAATATTTCACATATCTCAGAAACCTTACTAGAGTTGCCACAGTTGGAATCAACATGATGACACATTGCATATGCAATCATTCATTAGATTTCTATTTTGGAGCTGGGTTTTTTTTAAAAAATTGATCACTGTCTAAATTTCCTGAGTTTATATTTTTATCTTGAAACCCTATTATTAATTTGAATGATTAATTCAAGAAACAAGTAAGACTCCTAGTCTTTTGATTCCCAAGAAAGTGGCAAGACTAGAGTCTGAACTTCTCAGATAAGCTGTCACCATTTATAGACAGAAAAAAAGCCACAAGAAACTACAAGAATATGAAATATTGACAAGTATTCATTAATACTAGCAATGCCACTGAATTCTGTAGAATTGTTCCAAAAGGTTAAGACCATGACTTATGAGTAGATTAACAGTTTCACTGCACAAAAATAACAAACAATGAAAGGATATATTCAAAGGAGCATTTAGGATAAATATTTTAAAATCACATGTCACGTGTTACATACCTTCCCATATTTTTGGGCGTAAGATCCTGTAAGAAGGGAATGGAAGACAATAATGGTTTCATCCAAATCCCAAACAAAGACTCGCTGAAAGAAAATAATTGACACAAAAATCAGTAGATATAAAAGAGCAAGAGAATCATAGGCAAAGTATGCTTTCTCAGTCACACTCCCCTCTACCCTCTAGCAGCAAACTATAATTACCAAAAAAAAAAAAAAAGATGTAGTTTCTCAGGGCTGGGTTCAAGCTGTAGTCATTAAAGAGTTACTACATCTTTTTATGAGTGGGTACTTCTCTTAATGTTAACTTGTTTCAATCTAAGAACAGGGTAATTTTATAAATTGAGGGGCCAATCTGTCTTCAGAAACTGTTGGGCTGCATACACATTGCTGCTATGCTCTGCTAAAATTCAGTACAACTATCCTTACAGGGTTTTCAAATTATGGGGGATATTCTAAGGAGTGTTTTACCAGTGCCACTCCCCACTGAGCTGGAATTTGAACCCAGAGTCCTAGTCCAACCCTCTCCCCACTATATCAAACTGGTTCTCTCTAGTTTAATTAAGAAACCAAGGGAATATCTATGTTACAAGTATACAGTTATTAGACAAGGGGCTTCTTTCCATGCTGATAGTATATGATTGTCATAGGTGGTATTCTTCTCACTTTCTTTGTTCTGCAAATTGGCTTGCTTTGTTGTGAATGTTCTTCAAGCCATGAGTATGTCTTTATTTTGCTTTTTCAGAAACAGTAGACTGCTTCAGTAAACCCTCTTGAACACTAAAATGTTTTCATCACTAATGACAGGCTTATATTTTGTTTATTTCATTGGGCAAATGTTGGTAAGATGAAGAAGTATACTTGCATGCAAAAAAACCTTATGAAAAATGAAAACTAATTAGTCTTAAAAGTACTACAATACTTCTGGTTAGCCTTGTGCTATAAAAGACTAACACATCTACCAACTAGATTTATTTTGACAGTCTTTGTTTTCATTTGCTGTCACTTCACTCCCATTATAAAGGAGGAAGCCTCCAGGGTGATGGCTAGCTGTAGGCCCACCGCTCCTCGCTGGATCCTTTGCCACCGTGGCTGATCAGAGCCACAAAAGGGGATGTGATTGATTGGGTTGTGAACATTAATTCATCACTAAATCACTTAAAAGAAACCATTGTCCAATACTGGACAACACCAGCAATCATTACGTCAGACTGCACAGGGAAGCCATTGAAATCCACAAGCACAAGCACAGTTTCAACAAAAAAGAGGAAAGTATGAAGCTCAACAAAACCTGGCTCCCAGCTATCAAACATACTGCATGCAAAAGGTCAATAAACTCTACCCATCCACAAGGACAGGCAATCACTACACACAAAAGACCAGCTAATGACACCTATCAACCACAGGAACAGATAATCTCTTCCCTTTAGCACAACAATACACACTAGTCACCCATCTACAGGAAAAGACAAAAGCCTATCTCACAGCCATAAATACTGCACTCCCAAGCCAACTACACCAGAGTACAGGTTGCTGTCCTCTGAAGATGCCGGCCACAGAGACTGGCGAAACGTCAGGAAGAACAACCTTCAGAACACAGCCAAAGAGCCCGAAAAAACCAGAACAACCATTGTCCAACCCATTATCAAATACCCAATTAGCTTCGGACAATCTCAACAATTTCTGTCCGATCACTAACATATCATTCCTGGGCAAGGTGATTGAGAGGGTGGTGGCCAATCAGCTGCAGTCATACCTGGAGGAGCAGGATTACCTTGACCCATCTGGATACAGGCTATGATAGGGTACTGAGATGACACTGGTCGTGCTGCAGGATGATCGATCTTTTAAGAGGAGCTGACAGGGGCAGATCTCTCAGGAGCGTTTGATATCATCAACCATAGTATCCTCCTGGACAAGCTCTCTGAGGTTGGGATTGGGAGCTTAGCATTGAGCTGGCTCCCATCCTTCCTCAAGAATCGTGTCCAGAGAGTTCAGCTAGGGCAGACCTGGGCAAAGTGCGGCCCGAGGCCCATATACGGCCTGCAAGCCGCTCCTGTCTGGCCCACAGACAGTTTTGAACATCAAAACCATTTATAGCTTTTTGTCAAAGTTGATCAGTTGCTTATCTTTAACATACCGCAAAAAACCTCTTTAGTATATGTGAGGATTAACAAGTTTAAAATAAAAACAATCATAACATCACTGTTTCATTTTATTTTATTTTTAAGTAAAGTTGGTTTGGCCCTGAACACAGTTCAGATTTTTCATGTGGCCCCCCCATAGAAATTAATTGCCCACCTCCGAGCTAGGGGAAGTGGTGTCGGCATCCTGGACCCTTTGGTGTGAGGTTCCTCAGGGATCTGCACTGTAATTTGGGAGTTCTTCTGGACCCAGCTCTCTCTTGCAGCCATGTCCAGATCAGCCTTCAATCAGCTTAGGTTAATTGCCCAACTTCACCACCTACCTAGACGATGACTCCCTCAGGACTTTGGTGCAGGCCTTGGTCATCTTCCAGATTGGCTACTGCCATGCCCTCTACGTGGGGCTTCCCTTGAACCTGATCCAGAGACTTCAGCGGGTCCAGAATGTGGCAGCCAGACTGGTGGTTGATGCAAGTAAATTTGACCACATCACCCCAGTTCTGGTTCGCCTCCACCGGTTGCCCATGGTGTTCCGGATCAGATTCAAGGTTTTGACACTCATATACAAAGCTCTCCACAGTCTGAGCCCATGTTACTTGTTGGAGTGTCTCTCCTTAATGTCATCTACCCATCCCAGTCGAGGCTCCTCCGGGTGGCCATCCCAAGGGAGGCTCATAAATCCTCTACAAGAGGTAGGGCTTTCTTTGCAGTGGCTCCAACCTTATGGAACCAGCTTCCAGAGGAGCTCCGCCTAGCCCCCTCCTTTTGGACTTTTAAGAAGCATTTTAAGACATTGTTTTTCAGGGTGGCTGTCCATACCAACCCCAGCTGACCACATTCCTCCCACCCTTTTCACCCCCTCTTCCCTCCCCTATTCTTCTCCACTCTGAGATTAGTTGCCCATGTGGTTTTCTTTTTCTTGTTTTCTTTTTCTTTTTAGGGTTTTATTATCAGTTTTTGATATTTCTATTTGTGTTTTCTATTTATGAGATTGTAGCCCACCCAGAGTAGTGCTGCGACACTAATGGGAGCGGGATACAAATTGAATAAATGAACGAACAAACAAATAAACATGACTTTCAGAGGATGAAATAATATTTCCTTCCAAAGACACGAAGGGAAGGCCCAATAACAAAAATAGTTACGGGGAGACCAGTGGAACATGTTTATATTTGATAACCTTTTGTAATTTCTTTACTGCTGCCCTTCTAGGTCTCAGTTTTCTTCTGATATCTTGGCTACAGTCTCCATTTGGATTGATAGTGGAACCAAGGTACACAAAATCTCTTAACTATTTTAATTTCTTCATTGTCAATATTAAAGGTGTGTAACTCTTCTGTAATAATGATTTAGGCCTTTTTCATGTTCAACCACAGTCCTGCTTTGGCACTTTCTTCGTTCACTTTCCCCAGAAGTTGTCCCAAGTCATTGCTTCCTGCCAAGAAGATGATGCCATCTGTATATCTTAAAATAAATTATTTCATGTCATAAATTAAAATATTAAGTCCTACTTCATTTTAGTCTGGCTTTCTGTATATGTTCTCCATAGGGATTGAACAGATAAGGGGGTAAAATGCAGATTTGTCTATCGGAAACCATTCTCTTTCTCCATGTTCTGTCCAATGGCAGCTTCTGGTTCACAACACAGGTTATGCATCAGGACAATCAACTGCTCGGGCTCACCCATTTCTTTCAGAACAACCCATTGTTTCTCATGGTCTACAGAGTCAAAGGTTTTGCTGCAGTCTATAAGGCACAGAATAATCTTCTTCTGAAACTCTTTGGTGCTCTCCAGTAGCCAGCAGATATTTGCAATTATGATCTTGAGTTCCTTTCCAAATCCAGCTTGAACATCAGGTATTTCTTGCTCCATATAAGGTAGAAGTCTTTTCTGCAATATCTTGCCTATCATCTTGCTTGCATGGGAAATTAAAGCAATGGTCCTAATTAGATATGGGTTTCAATGGATAATCTTTTGGATGAACATGCGTTTGGCAGTTCCCAGCCCTGCCTCCTCCAGCAGGTGCCTATTCAGAGGTAGTGCCCAGAGGAAGCAGATCAAGTAAGCTGGGGCACAGCCTTTGAGTGGATGCCTGCTGGAGGAGGCGGGGCAGGGAATCACTGAATATCTGTTTGTCCAGCATGAACCACAAACCAGTAGCTGATGACCATCTTTAGTCCTAATAGTTACTGCACTCCTTGGCATCTACTTCCTTGAGGACCGAAATGTATATTGAGCATTTGTAGTCTGTGGGCCATTATTATTTTTCCATATTTTCTGGCATATTCTTGTTAGGATTTTGACAGAATCAGCCTCTATGGCTTGAAACAGTTATATTGATATCCCATCGACCCCTGGTGACTTATTCCTACTTAGTGCTTTCAAATCAGCGTTCGCTTCACTTTTTTAAAGAACTGCTGGGTCTTTGTCACAGGATTCATCTTCAAATTAGTCTATCATCCTTTTATCTCATCTCTCTAGGTATTCAGTATACTCTTTCCACTTCCTCTGTATCCCCCACATCCTGGTCAGTTACTGCACTTCTTTGTTGCTCTTTTAACATTCCTAAATGAAAATGGGTGTAGTTAGAAGGAAAATGGGTGCAAGTAGAACTTGAAGGTAGGTTTTTGCCAAGTCTACTGATGTGAAATAATTTCCTTTCAGGGGATCTTCTCAAATTGTGTGCAGTGTTTCCATAAAGAAGAATTTGTAAGGAACAAAGTAGCTTTGGAATTTTAAATACTGTACAGAGTGGTAAGCTCATTCTTCTTTGGGCATGGTAAAAAGACAAAATATATGCCCAAGTATCTCTTCAGACTGATTCTCTTGTCCTTATGTCCAAGAGGTAGGCTACTGCTTGCTGCAAAATAAGTCATTCTGGAGGGAAATATGCCTGTGGGATTTAAGAAATTTGTCCTTGGGGCCCACTAAATGGATGCTAAGAAAATCCATGGTCAGAAAATTCAAAGTATAAAAATAATTTGCTACTTGCTGAGGTTTTCTGCCTCAGCAGAAGGGAAAGTATACTGTATTTTCAACAGCTCGAGTAAGCTAATCTAAAACTAAGGCCTCTCTGGTATTGATCATCAGGGGCTGATGTGTCAGATGTGGAGTGCTCTGACTGAAAAACCTTTAGGGCAGGAAGTCCTAAAGTGGAAGTTACTTTGACAAAAGTCCAGAAAAAATACTTAAAATGGCAAGGCCTAGGAGAAGTCCACTTCTCATTGTCTGACCACCACCCCTTTTCTTTATCCAAAGCATCTGAATGGTGGGGAAAACTATTTCTAAACTAAAGTCATAATGAGATTTAACAAAGAATAATTGGCATCAGCAGTTACGAGAGAATAAAAATCAATCATAATTATTATTTGCCCCTGAGACAGGACAGTTGCTTGACATTAGCTGAAAGGGCTTGTTCTGAGCAAGAACAGTAGGCTGTAGCAGCCACAGATTCCTCCAGAGGACTGGAATGTAAATAAGCCCTCTTCCTGGTTGCTTGACAGCTGAGAGAACAGCTCTGAAACTATAGCCCTCTTAATTAAATATCAGCAGACTCTAATTGTTCAGGAATAGGGGAGGGCTAAGAGGAATGTAGGCAGATTTGTTCTGGAGAAAAGGAGAACTAAAAAGGTTTACCAAAATTACATAAGTTTTTCTGGTGTGTGTGCATGTGTGCATGTGTGTGTGCATGTGTGTGATCATAAGCTGAGGCAAGTAACTGAGATAAAAAAGCCAAGACCTTGGCAACTGCTTCTGGCAGACTAGTGTGAGGTGGCAGAGCTGAAGATGATGGATAGGTGGAGCTGAGGCTATTATGAAAAGTGCTGTTTTCCACCTGTTCTGCTCCTTTCAAAATACTGGATATGTCCCTCAAAGAAGAGAAAAAGAGGAATTCCCACCCACATCCTTTATCATCAGATTAATATTTTTTAGAAGTGTTCTTAGGCTACTAGCAGATCAGCTCTACAAGCTACAGTGCCTCACATTCTTCCTCATTTTCACTGCAAAGAATTTGAGAAAGTCCCATACTAGCTAATTCAGAGAAAGGCCTATAAACAGCACCAACCCAGCCATCTGAGTAGTTAACTATTTTTCATTCTCCTTTGAGCAAAAAGAGGTTGTAGCAGCCACATAAACCTCCAGTCTTTTCTACTTTCACTTTTACTTAGACCTCAAACTGCTTTGTGTTGGGATCCATAATTCAAGGGAAGAAGGTGAGGAAAGGGAAAGAGGGCTGTGCAATTTTTTAACTGAAAGCAAGGGGAAAAACACAGTGAAAAGAAAATCAAAAGACCACAGACAGGAGATCTGTAAGGACATACAACATGAACAGCTCTTATCTGGGCAAACACGGGGGGGTGGGGGGGGTGGAGGAACTTATGACAAATGGTGCTGGGAATCTTTGCAGTAGCTCACTGCATCACTGACTCTGCCTTTTTTCTGAGTAGTTAATCACTGAACCAATACTAAGTGAATTCCTCCTCTGAACCACCTAAGAGAGAGTACCACTCTCTATAGAGCTATGGAAATATATAGCATTATAGCATAACTAGCAGAAACTGCAATCCGAAAGATTTCTACATTTTATTGGAATGGAGGAGAAAAATTGAAGAGGCAAATGCTGACAGATGAACATTTTAATATGTATACAATCTCACATAGCTACTATTCTGTCTAAACACTGAAAGGGAAAGCACAAGGAATGTACAAATAAAACAACACATTTCTGCTACAGTAAATGAAAACAGCTTCTTTTAGATAATAGGACAGAAAAATCAAATTAAATTTGAATGACTGTATTTAATTTTCTATAAGAGAAAACTAAGAGACACAACATTTATTTGATTTATTTGTGTATGTTTAAATTAGAGGAGACCAAAAGGCCAAATTTATTACTTACTTAAATGACAAATTTATACTCTATACATTGGACAGCAAAGTAACTTTTCTTTTTGAATTTTCCATGTCCTACCACAGAACATTTCAAAGGGGAGAAAAGAAAATGATTGTGATGACATTTTCACAGGAACAAGCTGTATTTTAAAAGCTAGCACTATAATAGAAAATAAACAATATTTCTTCACAGGTCTTAAACCAATGAAACAGATTTCCATTCCCTCTTTCTGCAGCCCTTGGGGTGGGCCCAATACAGTGGGGTCTTGACTTAAGAACGGCTTGAGTTAAGAACATTTTGACTTAAGAACCACTCTCATAGGAAAATATTGACTTAACTTACATACTTAGATTTGAGTTAAGAACTGAAAAAAACCACGTGGGAGGCAGGGAAAGTGCAAAATTTGAACTTTCAGTTAACTGTTGGCCAGTGAAAAGGGTGCCTGTCTGCTTCCTCACTCCTCCCAGCGTTTAGAGAGTGGATTGGGAGACAGTCTTCAGACTGCCTAATACGGTACTGCCTGGACTGTATTTTCCCTGCCTTCCCTGAACCTTTCTTGACCTAAGAAAAAAAGAAACAAAATATCCCCCTCTAGTGGTCAAAGGCAGAATAGCAGCTTCCCATTAGTTTCTATGGACGGAAAAGAGCAGATACGGATCAAATGGTTTTCAATGCATACCTATGGGAAATGCAGATTTGACCTGAGAACGTTTTGACTTGAGAACCGCCTTCCAATACGGATTAAGTTCTCAAGTCAAGACCACACTGTAACATGCTCTTGATCAGGGGTTTGGGCTGCACAGGGAGTGGAGCTGCAGCAGGGAGGGGAAACTATGCTCCCCCTACTGCAGTGGATTCTACACTTTCATGGCAGATATCTGGGTGCAATCTACAACTAGAGATGGGGGTATTCATATTCATATACAAATACGAATATCCCCCCCACAGGTGCAGATAACAAAGGTACGGCCCCCTGGGGCCAGACCAACCACTCACGATTCCATCGCTGCTGCCAGCTCTGCAGAGCCTTCCTATTGCTCCATTGCTCGCGGCAGCTTAGCCAGTCCTGGCAGAAGACAGGATGACGAGCCTCTCTGCCAGGTCGCAGAGTGGCTAATCCATTGCGAGCAACAGAGAGCTAGAAAGGCTCCACAGAACTGGCGGCAGCGGCAGTATCATGAGTGGTTGGTCTGGCCCCAGGGAGCCAGATCCTCATTATCTGCACCTGTGGGGGGATATTTGTATACAGATACCCCCATTTCTATGCAAAACCCATCACTTGGTTTACATCTTAAATTAAAACACAATTATTTAATCATTTGCAAGATGCAACTGAGAGCAACTTTTTCATTGCTTTTCAGTTTCTAAGGACATACCTCCAAGTCACTGTCAGGAGGAGGTGATGGATTATTTTTCCGCCCCCTACCCCTGGATTTTGACCCAGAACTTCTACATGTTCTTTCATCAAGATCTTTGATTGGAGTTGTGGGGCTCTGCACACTGTCAAACTCTCCTGCAAATAAAACAGTTCCAAATGTTAGTTTCACATAACACTTAGGACTACTTAAAGAGTTATATACATCACTGCTTGATTAAAGTGTCTGGAAAATTCTTTAAATGGGATTTCTGATTTACCTGTAAATGACTTGATCTTCATATTGGAAGTAAGGCTGCCTGCTTGTTAAGATTTCCCATCTTTAACTGTGGTAGCAGCTGGGAGGAAAGGCTGTTCATGTACTTAGGCTATATCTAAGTAACACAAAATTCCTAAGATTCTTCTATTTAACAAAAGCAAGTCTAACTGAAAAGGGAACTGAGTTCAGAAAAGAAAGATTGAGACTATGCCGGGGGTTATGTTAATCACAATAACAAAGGGCTTGGTATTATGATTACATGTTCAGTCTGGATCAGGTTGTTCTAAAAACGGGCAATGCAACATGCAGGTCAAAAATTCCATTGCACCCACCATTGCAAGGATATCTCCATTGCAGGATTGACAACAGCATTTCCATCTCATATTATTATGCTCTTTCACTTCAAGTTCTCCAAAACATGTTCCACTGTTTGTCTTCTAAAGGCAGTTTCTGCAGAAGACCACATATATGGCATTCTTCCAATGGAATAAGCAGAAAAGGCTCCAAATTCTGAGCACTTGAGGTGGGTGCAAAGGCCATGAAGAGACCAGTTTTCAAGTTTGGTTCCTTGGAATAATGGACACTAATATTGTATACTAATATGTTCAAGTAATGTATACATCAAGTGACAGCTTCAAATGGGAAATGTGTTCTGCTTGATAAGATGACAAAAGTTTTGTCATTTTAGAAACTTGACTCTCTACATAGGTGATGTCAAATAATCCCTTACTATCTAACTTCACAATATAAGGCACAAAGAACAACACGCACCTCAAGATACTAGTGCTGAAGCACTTCTGAAGCACAGATTGTACAAATACTAGCACTTCCGTGGTAGAAGCCATCAGAGGAACTCTTCCACATTCCTATCACAAGGAAATGAAGGCTCTATAGATTTATTTATTTATATGAAAATATGAACCATTTCCCTTTGGCCCCCAAATGATGCTACATCCTGTAAATTGCATATTCTATTGATGGGAAAATTTGAAAGCAATAGGGTGGAGCGTTTCTTGAGCAGCCACAGTTAAATGACAGCGAAAGAGACATTTCTGGATGCAGGCATTTGAATTTACATTATGGAATGGCTGAAAGCTGTACTCACAGATCATTGGCCTGGTTTTACTTCTTTCTTTCCACCTCTCGTTGTACCATGCCCTATCTAACTGCTTTTCTACTTGATGACTAGATATCTAAGCAAAGAAATATGTTGGGCTGAATTACCTGATGATCTGCTAAAACACCAGGGAATTTTAGAATAACTCCATCTCAGCTAGTTTAAAATGACATTTGTGATTCACGCAATGTGTTTCATCACACGAGACCCAACTTCTTACTTGCCCCTGCTAGCTGCTTTGGTTCTCATACTGCCTGTGTGAATCAGGAACAGTCACTCCCTTGATTCATGGCATAAAGTAAATATGTACAATTTAATTGCCTTTGGTTGCATCTAGTGGCATTTTCTTTGGATCCAAATACCTTATGCAACCAGTTTCTATCACAATGGGCTCCCTATCTAAAGGGTCCTGCTTGTGTGTAAGACGAGCCAAATAAATCTCTGAGGAGATGCCTTCCTGGAGCCTATGGGATGATGTCACTAAGAAATCCTTCTGGCCTGGAGCCCCAAGTCTAATTTGGGAATAGATCTGGGAGCTGCATTTCAGCAGTTCAGGCCAAAGCAGAACAATCATGGCCAGACAATTCTTTCTAATTTAGACATTTTCGATCACACATGACAAATGTGCAGCCTGCAAAGTGCCTAATTCAATTAAACAACAGCATATAATTGCTAAAAGGGCTTTAGAACAGATGGAAAATTCCCATGGACTACATCTGGTCTGTCGGTTAGAAGGTCTGTGTTCCTATTCTATAGGAACTTCCTATGGAGGAAGTTCCCAAAACTACTGATGAGATGTCATTAGATCCTACTGCAAGAAGCCCAGAATCTTTGGGAGAAGATACATGTAATACTGATAACAATGCCATCTGGCATTATATTATCAGTTCATAACAGATCCATGAAATTCTGCAGAATCACTTTGGAAGAAAGTTCTAGAAACCTAACGTATATATCAGATTATAGAAATACCTTGTCTATTTTAATCTCATATCCCAGCCACTTCCTTTTATCATTGCAAAGAGTGATCCTTCACAGATTAATGCATCTTCTCACTTTTGGTACCACTCAAATTCAAAGATAACAACTTGGTCTGACTGTTGTAAGTATTAGAACACTGTAAGAGCCCTCATTCTGAGATGGGAAACCTCTGCAAGCATTGGTGAAGACCTTGGTGATCAAGACAAAACTGAACTCCACCCCAGTAACTACTTATAATCATAGGCAAACTAGAGATCTTAACCATAGTTCTGTTAGATCAGAATGTGAAGATGAGGATCTCAAAAATGATCTGTTACATAAGGATGTGAAGATGAGTTTCTGAAAGATCTAAATTAGTGTCATGTGGGTTAAGACCATGACTTCCTTGAAGGTTCTGAAAGTAGAGTTCAATGCAGCAGGATAAACAATAGTTCTGCTGCTTCTTGGCATCCTTAGCTCAGCTGGCTTGTTTATAAGAATGAAAAGCTTATAATACTGGAGAATGTGTTTCTCAGACGCTACAAGAAAGTTTCAAAGTTGCTAGATAAATAACCTGCCACTATAGGAAGAAATCCTAGCCCCCAAATCAATCCCAAATAGATTAGATTCATTAAGAGAAATTGAACCAGCTTGTTATAATTTATATATTGCATTGTTTCAAAGGGTTTACTGTAGTTTGCACTAAGATTAAATTTGACCTTAAAAGGATTTTCAGACAGATACTTCCAATATTTTCAAAACAGCTACTGCTCAGTTATAAAAACTATGCCACATATAAGAAAGCATTTGTCAGAAAAGCAAACTGAAGTGAAATCCTGTGAAGACAAGTGTCCGTGGTTTCAGATTTCATATAAGCAGCAAGCCCATTTATTTATATGGGAGCTGGCGTGGAGTGCTCTGATGAGTGTTCTGAGACCTATCCCCATTGCCACAAACCTTATTTACAGATGTGACTCTTAATCTATGAGTTACTATATTCAGTAAATGACTGTTACGCTCTGCTGAAATTACTGTACTGGAAATCACAGTTGCTACAAGACATCAGATAAAAGAGATCTTTATGTGTCCAGAATTCTCCTGTGCCAACACATATATTTAACTGCCCAGCTAACTTGATACACAGATCATCGTAATCTTTTCTCTTACTGGGATAATTCTGAAATGCACACCTCCAGATCTGATGAAGACCAAAGAAAAACTGAACTAACCATCTGAGACACAAAGGAATGTACAATTGAGTCCACTGAGGAATTTGTATGGCTTTGGTCAAATGCCACGGGTGAGTGCAGTGGTTTACATTTCCTTGCAGAAAAGCAATCACTATTCCTTACCAATGACAGCTTATAAACATTTATATTAATTAAGATCTCTCTGTACCCCATCAAATGGAACTTCTGATGCTGGACATTTAGAAGAGGTTCCAGTTCCTCACCTCCCATTTGAAACCTCTGAATTCCTATCTTGCTGTTTTTCTTGGAACTCCCTTTACTCAGTGCCCTGATACTTAGAGGAAGAAGCCAGACCAGCAGGCATGAAGGTGCTGATTTGGAGCCCCAGTTGAGGAGGACAATAATACAGGCTCCATCATATGCAGGAAGAAAAAAGAATCAACACTTTCTTGTATGGAGCAGGGACATCAGCCATAGAATATGCCCCTATCAGACAAACTACTGAAGCAGCTATACTGTCTCGATGCTTTGAATATTCCTAGAACTCAGGAATGAAGGCACTGAGAAGTCTGATCAAATGTAAATATCAGAAAAGACTATACCAATGTACCCTCTAAGCTGTATGGGTGCAAGCCTACCCAGTGCTACATCAGTGCTGTACACCCATAGCCAGTATTGCTGATCATTAAGTTCCGATCACAGCTGTAATCACCTGTGCAGTGCGGAGCCCCTGCCCAGCGCTGTCAGAAAATTAGAGGGAACATTCAACTACATACTTTATTCTCACAGCACTGTCTGGTTCCAGAATAGGATTAGGTGGCAACTAGCACCATAGAAAAAATGAGGTGTAGGGGGAACTAGAGGATCCTTCAACAGCTGCCTGGATATTCCTGGTAAAATTCCAAGTTTGACTAGATGGACTCCTTGAAGGATTGCTTCAACACAAGGGAAAAAAAAAATAAACTCAGTCTTCTAAAATTTTCTTTCTTTCCATCACTAGGTAACGACAGAGGCCTAAATCATGTTTCCGAACGCTTTATTCTAACACCTAAAATTCTAACAGGGATATTTTGCCAGTATGTGAAAAACTTCTGGTTCAGCAATATTTATGAAAAATAACTTCAGAAAGGTAATTTAAAATGTGTGAGGATCACAGTGTTCCAGATCTGAGATGTATTATTTGATTTGCCTATGCTTGAATGGGATATCGGGAAGGATGGATTAATCTATTTCTAGTCTTTGTCCGGTTTGCATGTGTTCATCCACAAACATGCTGTTTTTAAATCTCTCCAGCTTCTGAATCAATCTGGGTTTTTTTAATTACACAAATTGTTTTTTAATATACAGTATATATATTTTAAAAAACATGCAATTTTTTACCCTAATATGTGCATTGTGTATGCATCCTAAAATATACAACTTTATACACATTTTACTTTTTTATTTCAATAGTGTAACCAAAAATTCACAAATAACAATACTCCTACCAGCATACTAAAAACCTAAGAAATATAAATCAGTACCAGATTAGTATCAAAATGTAAGATAAACAAGGATTATAGGGGTCTGAATCACTATTGCAACTTGGGCAATTTTCATGTCTTTACAGACTGCAGAACAACTGGGATCACTTTAGTTTCCAGGTTATTCTCAAGTGACTCCATATGTATGTTCTCTCAGATTCTAGGTCCTACCTGATCACTAAATCCTGTTTTCAAAATTTTGCCCTATTTTGAAACTGTGATCATGTTGTCTTTCTGTTTCAATTTTGGAGATAATGAAACAAATCAAATCAAAACCAAATCAATATAAGGGGGATTTTTCACATGAAGCACATTTCATGTGGATTCTATAACCATCATGAAAATAAACACATTCTTAATGATATTAATACGATTGTTTAAAATATTGCTAAATATAAATGTACAGCAGTAGATACATTTTTCTTTGCATTATTAAAACATACATTTAACCTTCACAACAATGGAATTTAAATTAATCTGTTCCTAATTATCATAATTCTTCTAGCTCTGCTTTACAAAATAAGCACACAAACATTATTTCCATTTTCCATTATTCACTATTAGGCTTCATTTCTGGATCAGGTTTGTGCAAAGCAATATTACTTTCCATTAACTAGTACTGTTTTGAGACACTAAAAACACTATCTTGTAAGTTCTGGATATTCAGAGCCAAGTTTATTTCATTAAGCAAATACCTAAATCAGGATGGCCAGCTGTCTCCTACTTCAATGTAATGGAAGGTACAATTCTATTTTGAGCCAGCAAAAGTCACTGGCTGACTGATAAACCATGGTGGCTGGAACTACTATTTGTCCCTTTTTTTCTGTACTTCAACTACTACATTCAGTGAATACAGTTCCTCCATACTAGCATTCAGGGTTATATTCTGATTACTTATCAACCGTGTTTTAAACATGATTAAAGATGTACATTTTTACATGAATTTCTAGGATTTATTTCAATATTTTTATGCAACCTTTGAGGGCAAACACCAGTCCCTTCAAAGCAGGTCGCACATGTTGTGCTAAATAATACATTTTAATTAACTGAATTATTAATTACCTAGGGCTCTACTGAGCATTGTCACTGTACTCACAGAAGCAGCTTTGAAAATGCAAGTAGGAGGTGGACATTTGTTCCTTTCTCTTGGAGTTTTTCATGTGCCTTAAAATCCTGCTCTGGAGAGCTCTATTGTGTGTTTACAGTATTAAACAGAGCAGCAGGGGAGGGTACCAAACAGCTACCATGAGCATTATGTTCGATTAGACCCCTTTGTTTTTGGTGACTTCAAGCATTTTTCCTTTTTTTTCACCATTCCATCATCTCAACTCCCAGGGCCTGGCTCGTTCCCTCTGCAGAGTGTAATAACTGAGGTAGACTCTAGAACAGCATTGACCCAAATTGTGTTTCTTAGTTTAGTAAATCCCACTAGAGTAGGTCCACGGACTCAATCTGGATTTGATAATTCTTTTACTCTATAAACTCCACTGATATGAATGAAGCTACTCTAACAGCAACTTATTATGCTTAAGTTAATTAAGACTAGGCCCTTTTGAGTCAATGGAACTTACACAGGAGTTGACTCAATCAATCCCTATTGATTTAATAGGCTTATTCTAGTGCAATTTACTATGCTAAGCAACAAGATTTTGGCCAATATACATTGACTCATTCTAAATGACAATAAACATTAACTTAAATGTATATGATATACCACTATTTTAGCTAAGTAAGACACCCAGGCTCCTTTGTTCCAGTATATCAACATACATATAGACAAAAAACAAGTACAAATTGTGTAGACAAGGTATATGGCTAATAGGAACTACAGTTCTGTCTGCTCCGTCGCATATCCCGTGGGTAAGAAAAGAAGCATAAGCATGTTGTTTCCACACATATGACTTCATTCTATCTTGTTCCAACACTGGTTCTTCCTAACTAATCTCTTTTAAATCCTATCTATGGAAATCATGGCCTTTTTCACACAAGAACCTTGTGAGGCAAGTTAGCCTTATAGATAATGACTGGCTCAAGTTGACCCAGCAGCCCATGTGAGGATTTAGACCTTTGAGTCTGGGTCTTTGTGCCATTATAATGCACACGTCTACCCTACTTATGCCTGCCTTATATATTTATCTGTAGGCTAAATAAGTGTAAACAACAGAGAAGACAGAAGCATATATTTTATATCCTTTTCAAAACAGAGGAGCTCTCAATAGCTGTTCCAGCTGAAAAATATATTTGCCCACTCACTCTTTATAACTCTGAAATGTTGATGTGCTCATGAAGCTTAGCACAGCTACACCCTCTCCAAAAATACACCACATGCCTCTATCCTTCTGTATCGTTTTAAAAATACACTCATCTAAAAGGAGTGCAATGTTTTGAATGTGCAGCCATGAAATTCTGATGCAGTTCTCTGAACTTTTTCTTATCAGCTTGTTCATTCTCAGTACTTTGTAGTAGAATATCTAGTTATACTATATAAAATATATGCAAGAACACATAAGTATCACATACAGTGCATTTAGCTCTTCCTTCTTATGTATTAACTCTAAAGAATTGCAATATTTAAGAAAGAGATAAAATGATAGCCATAAATAGGAAGGTGACAGGTGTTCTGTTATCTGTACCTCAGCTACATCCATGAAACAGGTTGGAAATTAGTGTGTGTACTTTTATCATGGCAGAAATCCTGTTTGTTTCAGTTCTGCAATGTAAGGCTGATGCCTCATTGCAGACTTTTTTTAATTAAGTATTTCCATCTCTTAGCCCCCCCGTAGTGTTCCAATGATGAAAGGGACTCTTTGGGGCCCATGGAGGCTGCAGGATGGGAAGGGGATATTTTTACCAAAAAATATCCAGCATGAAGCCTTATGCTATGGAACTTATAAAAACAGAATTCCTGTCCATGTCTGTGTGTGTATCGAAAATCTATATGATTTTTTTCAGATTATCTCAGACTGCATGCATATTCTTGTGACTATGAAGCCCAGATCTTCATTACAGAGTGTTTTTCAAACTATCAACAATGCACATTTCCAAATGATCTGAAATAACTACTTTCTGGGACCACTGCCAGCAAAAAACTGGCAAAGACACCACTTTAGAAAGGAAGCTATGGACTAAGACCTTCTGTCTATCTTTTCTCCAAATAAAATTAGCATATTAAACATGTTTAAATATGTGATTAATAAGATATAGGTGGGATTTCATATTAAAACTTTTCCAACATGTTGAGCTTCCTTTGCAGTCACCACCTTGTTTTCATTAGTGCTATGTAGTTTCCCTACTGATTGTTTTTTAAAAATCATAATTTTGTTATTAGCAAACTATTAAAACTAAAACATAGTTCTAACATGAGTTTATCATGGCATTCAGAACTGAATTTTGAAATAGATGGAATAAACAAATGTTTTCACCTGCAGGAAGGTCTGTACCTGGTTGACTAGTCAGTCCAGGGAGAGAATCCTGGAGCTGGTATGTTGATGATGAAGAGGTACCATCTGTTGCATTGTTTGAGGTCATATAGGCTCCATATGCTGATGATGAATAATACTGTGGATATTGGTTTTGGCCAAAAGCAGTATATGATGGATAATCCTGGAATGACAGACATTATGCTTTTTTAAAGTTTCAATTAAAATACAGCAATATGACAGCAGTTCTGGCTCATTCTAAACTTTTAAATCTAATATATATCAAATCTAACATATAATAGTTTGCTTGAGCTCTGTAGAAAATATAAGTAATCATACCTGTTGTGAACTACTGAAGTTTGTAGAACTTGAGACTGAATTGTTTGCATAAATAGTGGAAGATGGTGTAAAACCGGAACCTACAATTAAAAGAATAGCTCCTTGTAAAAGTTAAATAACACATTGATGCAAACAAGTATAAAGCAAAAAAAAAAATATTACATATAAAAAACGGTAGTAAATGTTAAGGTTCTTGTCAGCCTAACAGTCTATTAAGAAAATTCATTATTTCTAACTATGTATTAACAGCAACAGCAGTTGCACCTTTAAAAATGTGGGAAACTGCCAGTACTCTCTTTCCTTCCCCACAGTAGATTCAAATTTAGCAATTTACTTTCAAAGGAGTATTATCTCCAACACAGTCTAATTCCAACCTATGAATTGCTTAACCTGTCCAGTTCCAACAATGCACATGACATATAGGTGGCAATGGCTTAAGGACGAAGGAAAACGTTAGGGTGAAGATAGGAGAAAGATATGACTCCTTCATAGGTATACCCTGGGACTAAAAGCTCCACCAATACATCAAGATTCTGAAAGAGACATACCACCCATGAGTTTACTTATTCTCAGAAATGTCAGCCTTGGCTGACAGCAGTTTCCTTACCTGCCACCCGACAGCTTTTTGACTTGAATGGTAAGAAACAGAACTTCACTATACTACTAAGCTAAAATAGAAATGAAGGCAAAAAACCTCCATTCACACCTATTACCTCATTAGATATTCTAGGAATAAAAGATAAAGGTTTCATTGAGCTGATGGAAGTTATTTCACACTTCCACCTTCATTAATTTAAACAATAAGAGGGACTAAGAATCACGTGACTGTCCCCACTATATAATCCAATAGCGCCCAAACATTTTGAAGTTCAAACTTTATAACCTCAGAATGCAATATCTTCACAAGATCTCCTTCCATTTTCAGAACTGGGTGCTAAATGTAATTTGGGTAATAAGTAGGAGTGAAGATTTCCCCAGCAAAGAGATATGCTGGAGAGCTTATTTGGATCAGATAGCTATGCAACTCAGATCCTTTCTAAAGTAATCAACTATGCCATCAGTAATTTGCACACATAATCATTCTAATAGTGTTAGCTTATTTACATTCTTAGGCACAGATGAGACTCTAAACTGTAATAGACAATTATCTGTGCCACCTACAACTAAAGAGACCATTTTTGCTGTACCTCAAGGATCTCTCTAAAACCCTATCACAAGATTTTGACAAGAAACCATTAAAAACATGAAAACAAATGGAAAATGCCTGCTTTAAAATATTTGCAGTTTGCGCTGAAAATCTGGTAGCAAACTGGAAATCTTTATTTTAAAAATTGCTTCGTTTAACAGCTTTTCCATTTGTTGCCAGATTTTGGTTATGTAGAATGAGTGCGTGTGTGCGTGTGTGCGCGCACGCGTACAGATGTGCAAATGTATACAGAAAATATGAATTGTGATACAAGACAAAGGAATATTCCTTATATAATTATCCTTATCAAAACAATATTTTCAGATTCTCAGTGGAGTTATTTAGATTCCTATCACCAGATAATTGAAAACAAATGTATAAAGAAAATATGAATTGTGATACAAGACACAGAAACAGTGAACAAATTTATGTAAATAAAATTTCATAGAATCATATAATAGTGGAGTCAGAAGAGGCTTAAGAGACCACTGAGTCCAACCCCTTGCTCAATGCAGGAATCCAAATCAAAATATATCTGACATATGGTTGTCCAGTTTTCTCATAAATGCCTCCAGCGTTGGGAGCTCACTACCTGCTGAGGTAATTAGTTTCATTGACCTTTTGCTCTAACAGTTAAGTAGTTTTTCCCAATATTTAACCGAAATCTGGCTTCCTATAACTTGAGCCCATTATGTATCCTGCACTCTGGGATGATCAAGAACAGATCCTGCCCCTACTCTGTGTGACAACCCTTCAAGTATTTGAAAAGTGCTATCGAATCTCCCCTCAGTCTTCTTTTCTTAAGGCTAAATATGCCCAGTTTTCTTTAATTTTGCCTCATATGGTTTGGTTTCCAGTCTCCCGATCATCCATGTTGAATACCACACATACTATTAGTAAAATACATTCAACAGATGAGCGGGATATAAATCAAATAAATAAATAAATTAAATAAATTAAATAAATAAATATATAAATAAATAAATAGATAAATAAATAAATAAATAAATAAATAGTACCTCAGTTTGTGAAATGGATCCGTTCAACGCGACGTTACGTAGTATAGAAATTTTGCAAACCAAAACGCCAATTGTGCTATGAAAGGGATGGCGCTATAGGCGCAATGTGCCCTGAGAAAACCCTTTAGGAGTGTGTGTGTGTGGGGAAACAACATAAACCGGGGCTTTATTTCTTATGGATTTCTCTGGTTTCTCTTCAGATCGCATAAATCTTTCGCCTTTTTACTGTACTAATAGTGATGAAAACACTTTTTGAGTAACATACAATACATTTCACCAATTATATTTATTTTATAAAAGATGCATATATCCTAAACAAATTCAAAAATAGTAAAAAATAACAAAAAACAAACAAAACAAAGGCTGAACAATAGGTCACTTACCTGGCATTTGGTATGAATACGGCGTTTGGCCTGGCTGTGGTGTGGAGAACCCTGGGCTGTAACTAAGGCATCCAGTCTGCAAAGGTGACTGTGCTTGTGAAAGTCCACTTTCTGTCTTGATGCCTGGCAACATTACACCCAAATCTGTGTAAGAAATTAATTTTCAGCTAATTTTTATAGATGGGAGAGAAAAAACCCCCACAGCTTTCCCTGATGCCAAATATACTTGTAACAGAATAAAAAACTGTAGGTCAAATACCGTAAGTAGGTAAACTGTAAGGCTGCCCAGTCTGTGAATATGCTGTATATACTGCGGGCTGCTGCATTCCTGAATACTGGGTCTGACCAGCATAGGCTGACATGGTTTGAGCTGCTGGAGTAGACAGAATATGTGGATAAGGCCTAGACAGCAAGGAAGAAACTACCATTATTAATGCCAATTAATATTTGCTAAGTTCATTCAAACAAAAAAACTCCACATCTTCACCTCCCACGTAAAATTACTCACTGAATGAAACTCATTGAAGGTTCTGTGGCTCACCTGTTTCTAGAACTGATCCTGTGGATCTGGTGTTTTACCCTTAATGGCAACCAGAAACACAGAAAACAAGTTGAAGCTTTCTGTGGAATGGAATTACCGTATTTTTCGCTCCATAAGACGCACCAAATTTTTAGGAGAAGAAAACAGGAAAAAATTATCTGCTTTCTTCTCCTAAAATTTGGTGAGCCTTATGGAGAGGTCCTGATCCTGTGGATCTGGTGTTTTACCCTTAATGGCAACCAGAAACACAGAAAACAAGTTGAAGCTTTCTGTGGAATGGAATTATGTAATGGGAAATACCTTTCTTGCTAAGTTTTGGAATATGAGGGTAATAGAAGTTGTTCTTCCTGTCACTGTTGATCTGATTCAAAATTTAGCATATTAATTAGGTCTTACCAGTCCACACTTCTGAAAACACTTCCAGGGTGTAGAAACACTGGAACATTTATAGTTACAATAAAAGTCAATAAAATCCCACACTACAGTGATTGTTAGCAATACAGCTTTATTAGGTAAAGGATGAATTGAGTATGGCATCTTTAATTCTATCAGATGTGTCTGCCATTAAAAGTAGAACCTCATACAGTTACTCCTTCCTCTCTTATTGTTTTGTTAGAAGATCAGCATATGAGTTTCCTTGTCCCTGTTATCATCAGTGCCTGCATACTTGAAAGGACAGAAAAATGTAGAAAAACAACATGAGCAAGGAGAAAGCTCATTTTGGGGTTATCACTTTCAAGAGCAACACTTGTGTCCAGTATACCAGCTAGTTCTGCCCTAAAGCAGAAGAGATTCTATACTTTGTGGAAGCACCTAGCAAATGCTATACAATATGCAGATGAACCATTGACATGGATACTGACTAGAGATGAGGATATTCATATTCATAAACTAATATGAGTATCCCCGTCCCAGCTGGACCTAATGAGGGTCCAGCTCCTGGGAACAGCCCGTCCACTGATGTGTCCTGGTGCTGCAAAGGTCCTGCTCTTGCTGCCAATGGCACCAGGAGATCTGCTGTCTCCCTGCTTGGCTGCCACTCAGCAGCCGTGCGGGAAAACTCATTCTCCCGCCTCCTGCCTGGAGTCATCAGCTGAGCAGGGAAACAGCAAAGCTCCTGGCACCACTGATGAGAAGAGAAGGATCTTTGTGGTGCCAGGGTGCGTGAATGGAAGGGCTGGTTCCGGGGGCTGGATGCTCATTAGGTCTAGCTGGGACGGGGACATTCGTATTCATTTACAAATACAAATACCCCCCATCTCTAATTCTATTTCCCATCCCTCCTGCTGTGATATCACATGTGGGATTTCCCTGAGATCATGGATAGTGGACTTACACTGAAAGTGACCTTAGTATTGGAAAGGACTCAAGTTTGAGCATTTGCATCTAGGTACAGTGAGGTGTGAGGAAGGATGGCAAAAATACCACAAACTACGTTTAAAAGTGAGAGGTCTGTTTTTAATCTTACCATATATTGTGGTAACATGTAAAAGTGATATATCTGAACACCCTCACATAATAGCAGCCATACCAGGAAATTAGTATGGTGTTCCCCAAAGTTGTGTATTGAGACCAGTGCCTCTCATATTAGAGCGGGCTATTCTAGTAGTTCTCTTTTTAAGCTAGAGAATGTCCCTAAGGGTTTTGCATAGGTGCAGAAACGCCTACATGTGTGATTCAAAGAGACCACAAAGAACAAAGTAAATTAAAATACTTTGTACTGTATTTGATATGTAATGACTAATGGTAAACACAGTAACTGGCATTATGAATTTGACATAACATACAGGCACTCCTCGCTTAACAACCTACCTGTTTTATGTCTGCTCAGACTAATGACCAGTTTTCCAGCAATCATGAGACTACATATTTGTTTATAAATTTTACAGTACAAATTTTGTAATAAATAAGATGTATAGTCTCATGTAATTGCTGGAGAACAAGATGTTGGCAAAAAGGAAAAGGCAACACTAAGATTCAAAGGAAGGCTATTGATCTTGATATGAAAATGAAGATCGTAAATGAATATGAAGCTGGTAAAAATATTAAAAGAGATAGCACGTGATTTGGAGCCGGCACATTGAACTGTTTTGATGATCTTGAACGATAAAGATTTAAAGCCATAATAACTAGGCAGTGAAAAGCACTCATCCATGAAATAGAAACACTGCTGGTGATCTCCTTTGACAACAAGATACAAAAAAGCCAATGAGCCTCTTAATTATTCAAGCCAAGGAAGACAATATATTTGAAACACTGAAGGCATGTGAAGGGGAAGAATTGATGGAAACATTTACAGCAAGCCATGGATGGTTTCAACAGTTCTGTTGAAGATTCAACCTGAATAATCAGAGTGTCAGCGGTGAGGCAGCAAATGAAGATGTAGAAGCAGCAGAAAAAATTGTTGACTAATTTGATAAAATGATTGAGGAAGGAAGCTACCACCGGAACAGATCTTCATTGTGGATAAAACTGGGTTTTTAAGAGGGAAAATGCCTGAAAAGTCCTACACAAAGAAGATGAAACAATGCCCACTTTCAAGGCCTTTAAGGACAGGGTCACATTGTTGGGAGTAAATGTTGCTGGGTTCAAGTTAAAGCCTTTTCTCATCTATCATTCTGAGAACCCAAGTACATTGAAGTGGATTATTAAGCATACCCTGCCTGTTTAGGTAAAGGTAAAGGTTCCCCTTGACAATTTTTGTCCAGTCGTGTTCGCCTCTAGGGGGCGATGCTCATCCCCGTTTTCAAGCCATAGAGCCAGCGTTTTGTCCGAAGACAATCTTTCGTGGTCACATGGCCAGTGTGACTTAGACACAGAACGCTGTTACCTTCCCACCAAGGTGGTCCCTATTAATCTACTCGCATTTGCATGCTTTCAAACTGCTAGGTTGGCAGGAGCTGGGACAAGTGACGGGCGCTCACTCCGTCATGTGGATTCGATCTTACGACTGCTGATCTTCTGACCCTGAAGCACAGAGGCTTCTGCGGAAGAAGTGTCAGAAAAATGTATGAAAGGCATATGGAAAAATGCCTAAAATGTTTCATGAATAATTTCAAAGTGTTTGATAAAAGACGCGCATATTGACATCATACATAAACAATTGTGGATGTTGCTAATGTGGTTAATTTAGATGTTGAAGCAGAAGAAATTGAAGAATTAGTAGAATATGTCAAGGGAGAGCTAACGAAGATTTAATAGACTGGAAGTGCAACAGCACTTAGAAGAAGAGGAAAGAATGGAAGAAGTACCAAAAAAGTTCACTGTAAAAGGATTAGCCGGTGAGTTCTCAAAAGTGAATGCAGCTCTGTTAGATCTAGAGCATATGGATCTGAATGTTGAATGGTTCACTAGAGTGGAACGGCAAATAAATGAACTTTTATGTTGCTATCATGAAATTTATGAAGAACAAAATAAACTTACAAAGAGGACCACAGTAACAATATTCTTCACAAAGGACACCCAGGACCCCTACTCCTAGAAGTACTTCTATCTCATTGCAATCATCTCCCTCACCCAGGCCCTCCACATCTCCTGATGATAACTCAGAAGATGACACCGATGACTTCAAACCAGTACCACACTCTGAAGGATTCAATTTATTTATTTTGGTACTGTAATCATCTTTATAATTTTGGCTGATTGTATTTTTATCTTCTGTGAAGGTAAGAGGAGAAGGGGACGACAGAGGACGAGATGGTTGGACAGTGTCACTGAAGCTACCAACATGAATTTGACCAAACTCCGGGAGGCAGTGGAAGACAGGAGGGCCTGGAGTGCTCTGGTCCATGGGGTCACGAAAAGTTGGACACGACTTAACAACTAAACAACAACAAATACATATTAAGAGATGAAATTAAAACAAAGTTATCAAGTTGGAGTTTCCTTTATTGCTATTCAAAATAAACAAAATGATTACACCAGATTTATAATGTGTTGCGGTGTGTCTTGTATGCTTTTTGTATGGATAGAATTATAGTAATGTGCTCTAGTGTGGTATCGTGTGATATCTACTGAAAAATAACAACCACAAGATATATACTTCTAAGATCCTTGCTTACCGACTGATTCGCTTAATGATCAAGTCATAAGAATGGAACTCAGTTGTGAAGTGAGGAGTGCCTGTATAATCTAATTACTCTGAACGAAATAAAGTTTGAGTTTTAAATTGTAATCTGCTTTACGACTCTAAATTAAAGAGCAGAAGTTTAGAAACTGTTACCCAGTGTGGAGATATATGAAAATATGCCTAAGACTATCATGTAAAGTGGACCTTAAAAAATCCTAAAAACTTTTATGCCATATCAGGGCTTCTGAACTATTAAGCAGTCAGTACTGAAACACATTTATAAATACCACAAAACAAAAATATACCATAACTTTTAAAACGTTTACACTAATAAATGACCTGAAATATATCATGTGATTAATATATTAAAGGATGCATGTTCACTAACTTGGAGGGATACAGCTGCGGTGAGTACTGATGTGATGATCTTGGGCTGTAGCCACTACTTGTGATTACTACAAAACAAAACAAAACAAAAAAAATTAAATTACCAGTTAATTTTCAGACAAAAATAATTCTGTTAGTAAATTAGGCACATGTTTATATGACTGACACAATGGATCCTCAAGTAGAAGATTCTTCACACTATGTACTCTGGGTTTTCTAGACTGAAGTGACTGTCTATGATGTAAGGACTCTATACAAACAAGAATAATTGTACAAAGAAGAGATTCAATAAGGGTATGGTGAGAGATTGCGTGCTACAATGCCAAGCAAGAATATATCTGCTATCTCCCCTGCAGTAAATAATCAGGAACAATGAATGCATAACGGGACATCAGCAGAGCTCAAGATTAGTAGTAATGAGATCCTTGGTATTGTTTGCGAATAAGTAGATTTAGGACACTCAAGAAATTTTGCTTCTATCTTTTTAACAATAAATTTTAGGAGCTGCTACAAAAGTAGGGCCACTGGTCCACTGGAAAACTGTCTTACAATGGTTGACTCCCAAGTTGCAGCATTTACCAAATTCAGCCTGTTTGAAAAAGAGTATGTTTTGTGGCAGTAAACTCCAACATAAAGCCTCTTTAAAACAAGCAAATTTTAAAAAGTCAATTTGAAAAACGTATTTATTCATTGAACTAGTTGCAGACTACTTTTGATACTGCTCTACATTTTTTATCTGAGCTGTAGAAGGCTGACAAGGAATGGGCCTCAGCTTACATTGACAATACTGGACAATAAATTCATTATCATTACAAGTAGAAGTATAATGTGATCACACAAAGAAATTGGCAGTAGGGCTTCATATTTTCCTTTAAATTCTAATGTTATTTAATTTCACTCAGAAATGATCAAGATTTACAATCCATCAATTGTATAAATACATATGCAAACTTAAATGACAATCATACCCTTGACATTAAGTTAGTAATAGACCTACTATACGAAGATAAAATACATAAAACAAATACATAGTACAGTATAAAATCTTGCTATAGTGTTTTGCGAATTCTCATAGCTGAAAATAAAAACTTAGCCACTAACTGTGTTATTATTTGATTCTTTCTGGACAACAGAAGCTTCAGATAGCCTGTGGGAGGTAGACCAGTGCATTTACTCGTGATTGAACCAAGATACCAAATACGTTCGATCTTATATAGGCTACATTCTAAAATGATGTGCACCAAGGTCTCAATAATTTATTTCCCATAGGGACAAATCCTTTCACCACATGGGGTGTTATTAAAACACCCTTTTAAAGGGGCTGAGGGAAAGCAGTTAAATCTAGCCCTTGAAAAGACAAAGTGTCTCCGTGCTAGAATTTGGTATAGGTAGCTAGCTGACTTGGAGAAGTTAAAATTTAGGACAAAACACAGTGGTGCACAAGTCCTGACTGCACAAGCTAAGGAGTACTGAAGGTTTATATCTTTGATATGTTGAATAAGTATTGGTTCAATGCTAACTTGAGGCTGTTTCAGTAAGAAGTCCAACATATCTGATAAAACGCTTTCAATGGAGGGGTTAAACCCTTAATCCAAACAGCGATACCATATCCTCACCCAGAAATGATCAAGATTTATAATGCAATACCCATAAATTGTATAAATACATATGCAAAGGTCATCTGTATTTTTTCTGAGCAAATTTAAATGACAGTCATACCATATTTAAAATCATTCAGTTTTGCCTAGTCTAAACTGATTTAAAATAACAAAAGAAAAAAAAGTAACATATACAAGTGAACATTTCTCTTGTGTGTAATGTATTAATGAATGAATAGAAAGATATCATTTGGATTTTCTGAACTGTAGCATTCTCCAAGAATTTCCCAGGCAGGATTCTGGGAGTTTCAATCCACAGATCTACACCTTCACAATATATTTTTCATTCACCTAGAGCAGGGCCTAGGCCTTCATACCTTGTCACAATGCTTCCTTCACTCTATATAACCTAAAAGGCAGCAAGATTCTGATACCCAATGTCCTCTCAGAAAGAAATGAAAGCCTAGAATGCACCCTTGTAGGCTTGCTTCCAGGTGAGAGGAATTCTGGGAGTTGGTGTAACAAAAAGAAAATGTGAATGACACATTCCTACAGATGAGGTACACCTCTAAATATTTCTACCAGTTCCCCCAGAGAAAATCCCTGCCAGACAACACTGAGTCTTTGTTAGAGCACCTCCTGTTCTCTTTTGTAAACATGAAAAACATAACACAAAGTAGCACTGCAATTTGCAACATTATTTTGAGATATATTCTTCTACTGTATATCATAATAGTACCGAAAAGGACCAGCCTTCAGAATGGCACAAACAGATAACTGCTACTATTTTGCACGTAAGGCAGCTTTGGACTTGAGTTTCTTGTACAACAATTTCTTATTATATGACAATTTTTTTAAAGGACCTTAGTTTCAAAACCAGTTTGCAGTAAGGCATGGACATCTACAGCTCAAACAAAGAGAGCTACTCTATGTGGGTGTGGGTGTGAGTGTGTGTTTGAGAGAGAGAGAATTTAACTTTTTTTCTTGCAGTTTTCTTGTATGTTGTAATTTACCCATTACAGATCTGTAATCGAAAGCAAAATCACTATACATCTCTTTATATCTGTCACATATTTTACATTTTATTCTGCAATCAGTTCATGGTTGTCACACACACCCAGCTCTTCTCTTTTTCCTAACAGATTTTCCTTCGGGTATGACTGTTCCTTTTCTCCTTAACTATGCTGCTACCAAAGGATTACTTCCTCAATTACCAATTATGAACACAGAATCATTGATGTCAAATATAACAATGTTTATTTAAAGATTAACAGGTGAAACTTACAAAGAAAATTATGGATGGTATTGTAGTTGCAATTCATTAAACTTCTTTTGATTTACAGATATGTTTGGTCATTTATATTCGTTTTCAATCACGGTGTTTATTTAACTCTTATACTTTTCACTTCTTTCAGTTCTCTCATACATTAACTTTCCAAGTGTTCCCTTTTAAATCCTATCTTCCCTGTCTATCTATCCCTCCATACGTATATCCCAATCCTTCTCTCTAACTCTTCCCTTGTTCTAACTTTTCCTAACTGTCCACCCTAACTGATTCCAACTGTCAGTCCTTTTTTTTTTCTCCATCTTGGTTCCGCCCTGCCCTATCATTGGCTCCCACATCAGGGTTCTAACGTGATGGACAGGCATGACATTTGGGCTGTCCGTCACAAATGGTAAATCAGCTTTTATATTTAATTTCTAGTCTGCTTCAGCATTCACTGGCATTGGAATTTAATGCTTAATGACAGAATAATGTAATCATATTCCTTCTTAACTGCTATTACATTGCCTTCCAAACCATTGGCATTGGTTTCAACATAATTTTTTAAAGAAATTATCTTATAGTAAGTACAGCCATTTTCTGATCGCATGCATTGCGGCCTAGCCTCAACAAGTCACTATGGCAGTGGAAGCTTGTGAATGGGGCGAGGGGGTGGCACCCCCAAAATGTAGGGGCAAGGCATCCCACCATCTGTCCCATGAGATGCCCATGTGCCAAGGGCATCAGCAGAGATATCTTTTAATCCCCTCGTATGTGATCATTTTAATCAAAGCTGATAGGAACTGTAGACTGAAATTATATATACAAAAGTGGGTTCTACCACTAAGCAATGGCTCATTCAATATGATTATTAAAAGCTAAAGCTTACTTGGTCACTAACTGTTATTAAGAAATCTTGAGTCTGCATCCTTAAGTGGCTTATACTCTTTATATTGTTATAAAGACCATATAGGATCCTGAACACATTATGTTGTTACCTGATCCAGCAAAAGTGTCAAGAGATCCATCTCCACTTGTTGTCGTTGTCGATTCATTGCTATTCATAGGCTCTGTTTTGACTGGAAGAAGAGACACTATATAAAAGAATAAGTAGATGCAAGATTTTACTTTTCTATTTTCACATAAATTACCACCCTAATTACAGAAGAATCTGTATTTGATGTTGAGCAAAAATATTCATACACTGAAAATATGTAAAATTCTGAGCATAAATCTACTATATGACAACCACAGCATTGAAAACCATGCATCTACTTTAAAACCAATGCAGATTTCACCCATAAACCAACAGATTACAAAGAAAGATGTGAAATGCATAATAAAATTATAAAATTTATTCTGGACAAGAAAAATGAATTTTATCATGGTTCAATTTATTCTTGCCAAAGTACAGTGTGATAAAGACAGCTTTAAGAATGCTGGCTAAACCTGCAATCTTCCATATGAGCCTACCCGGCAGTCAAGATCTATCCAGGGGGCCCTTTTGAAAGGTCATTCCTCAAGGAGGTAAGAGGGCCAGCTTGTAGACAAAGGGCCTTTTTGGCAGCTGCTCCCAGACTATGGAATGCCCTCCCAACTGAGATTCGTCTGGCACCAACGCTGATGACATTTCGGCGCTAGTTCAAAACCTTCCTGTTCCAGGCGGCTTTTAATTGAAATAGTATCAGCTGTGGGTCCTGATGGCAAGTTTTAGAGTATCTATTTTAATTGTATTTTAATTGTTGTAAGCTACCCAGAGACCTTTGGGTAGAGTGGGCTGCATATTAGTTAAATAAAAAATAAAATAAAATCTAGGGTTTTTTTTAACATTGTCTGTTTTATAGTTAATAACAGAATTATTCTCAAGTTTTTGACTCTGATGTATGGACCTTATTTGTAAGAAACCTCAAATGGAGAATGAGATAGACTGTAAGTATATGAACAACAACTTTCAGTAACTGTGACAAATATAATCCCAAAACATACTGATGCCATGTTGTAACTTTTGGGAGAATTTTAAAAAGCTCTTCAGAGGCTAGATAAGCTCCAGTGTTTCAGTCCAGTGGGGGCACTTATATATCTCTTAAAGATGGAGTGACCAAAAATTAAGGCTAAATTTTCTGAGGGCCTTTTTCTTTTCTTTTCTTTTTTAAATCTGGTTATTTGAAAAGAAGGGTTTTTTTCTCTCTCTAAGTCTGAAGCAGAAATTCTTATAGCCACCCACAGTGGTCAATTTTTATTAAACAAACAAATATCTAATATACCTTCTGTCTCTCTCTCTTTCTCTCTCTATATATATCTATATAGTATCTATATATTTCTATATATCTATATGTGTGTGTGTATGTGTGTGTATACACTTATATATAATTCTTCTTTTAGATTCAATGATATTTATTGTCCCTTTTATTATCAGGGGTCACAAAGTTGCATTACTTCATGTTACTTAAAATGTGACTCTAAGAGAAATCTGTCAGATTCATTAGATCTAGACACAGTTATAATTAGTAACCCCCTGAAATAAATGGGAATTACTAACTTACATTTCAGGGAGTGAAGCGAACCAATACAAAGCATGAATGAGTCTGGATCAAACCTACAGTTCTGAAATCCTTCAAAAGGCCCATGCATTTTAATTTTACTGTAGGTATGAAGAGAGGGAAATCAGTTCTGATATGGCTGAAGTCGATGTGAAGAAATCTGCAGAAGGTAGGTTCATCATCCTCTCCATTTCCCCTAATATCTTAAAATTATTTTAGCTTAGGTAATTGTGAAGAAACATCACTAACTGCTGTGAAGCCTTATCTTGGAATGTTTTCTGATACACAGGCTGCTTGCACCTGTAGAGATCATGTAGAGCTCTCACAATAGAAACCAATCAATTGGCTTCATCTGATTGGTGGGAAAGGTTCAGCCAGCTCATAAGGGGATGATGGGATATAAGGTTAGATGGAACAATGGTTTAGTTAAACAGCCAGGTTAGAGGTTCTTCAAGGTTGCTTCAATATGTAATCCCAACTGCTATTTTGCTGAACTCTGTGTATACTTTGGAACTGTGATACTTGTAAGTACAGATTAGGTTTAGAGATGCTTTTGTTTGTTTTTCAGTGGGAAACTACTTCTAATTACCTGACTCTCTCAAACTGCTTTTGTTGCAACCTGAAAATTGAACTGCTTCACGATATAACAATTTTGCTAGTCATTACTGTAAGCCTTTTGCGGAACATGTTTTGCTAAAATTTCTTGAATACAAATAGTAAAAATTTACAGCTGTGTCTTCATTCAAATAGCTGGAGGGGTTGTAAATATTACAGTTCAGCATCTTATGCACTTGGAAGTCTGTTGAATATTTGTGTGTGTTTTTTCTACTTTGCAGGATTGGTTTGCAAGCAGGAACTACAACATGCTTGTTTTGTTCTCCTGGAATACCGAGGAGCAAGTGGCTCAAAAGGTTTTGGGATTAGGAGCTCACAGGAAGCTTTCCCAACCATTAGTGAACTGACCCATCTGGCAAACACCCAAATAACAGATAGCATAACATAAGGGTAATATAACTAAGTAGAAAGTGGATTCTTTCTGTAGTGACCTAACAATCCATAAAAACTGAAATGGCTGTGTCCAATAAAAAGATGGAACTTTATTTCTATTTTTCTGGCACACAACGTGAACTATTCAAAGTGCATAAATTGCTTTCTATAACTGCTCACTTTTCTTACACTGCATGAAGAGTGTCAAAGTTTCTGAAATGTGAAAAGGGAATCTAAGTATTACATTTTGAAATGCAAAGAACAAGGAGGGATTTTCCACAAAAGAAGCATGCCATGCAAAAAGAACCAAAGAAGTGTAGAAGATGAAGGTGAACACTGAAGCCCAAGTTTAAATTAACATTCAGCCAGTAAATATGAAAGAAAGATACTGAGAGAAAAATGGTATTGTCCTAAGACTTGTGTCTTGCACATATTTATACAGAGATTCTTCTAATACATATCTTTAAACTAGAATTTCAATCAAATCTACTTCAAAACAGGACACAATGAGACAGAACTAGGCTGTTACCTATCACATTTACCACATGGGTTGGATGGCCAGAAAAAATCTATTAAATAAGTCACAATTAGACTTGAATTAGACTTATCTTCACACAATCTGCATATTTTGTAAAGCTTACAAAAATGTTCTGAAACTAAACAGCTACGGTGTCATACTGGAGGAGACAATCTAAATACAGTCTTTGAGGTGGACTACACCAGTCATAGGTTTGCCTCTGAGAATTCTGTTACTTGGCAACATAACAATTAACAGGCAATTAGTATTTATAATCACAGAGGCTATTAATATCCAAAGATGCTGATGAGTAAACTTCGAAGTCTGTCCCTATCCTTATTCTACATTTTGATCTAGTTGAATATCTCATTAAATAAAACAGAAGCTCAATTAAACATATCAGAAAATTGTTTGTGAATGAACTTATAAATTAAAATAATCCAATAAAGTCTGTGATTATTTTAACCTATGGAGATGTTTGGTCTTTGTGATACACTTCACCATATCATTTGATAAACAAACACCTAGAACCCCTGTAATCAGCACTATATTTAATAAAGAAGAACACCCATTTCTGTGATGCACACACATTTCTGACTGTGAGCAAGGTAAGTGGAAGATAACTCCCCTTGTCAGCATGCCATCCTCTCTTCCCTTAGAAACAAGTGATGTGAGACCTCCAGTTTTCCAATAGAGGCAAGCATGGAAAAGAGAGGTTAGTTACCTGCAACTCTGGTTGAGTGGCCATCTGTGAATTCATACTGATGGGTTTAGACTGCGCTTGTGCAGAGGTTTCGGAATATTCTAGAGCTTTTGCACGCGTTTCCTAGGACCACCACCCCTACTACACGTGGTCCGCCCATCCTGGCAATTACCTCAGTTCCTAGAACAGCCCACTGCTGCATCAAGTGATACAAACATGACAGACAGAGGGGAGGATGGGCCGGAAGTGTGAATTCACAGATTACCACTCGAAGAACCGGAGTTTAAGTAACCTCTCTTCTTCCGTGGTCTCTGTGAATGCACACGAATGGGTGATTAACAAGCTGACTTACGGGAGGAGAGATGTCACAGCTGGACAGAAGTGAGAACAGCTCTACCAAATGCTGCATCTGTCTTGGCCCGAAGCTCTAGGTGGTAGTGGGTGGCAAATATGGAAAGAGTTGCCCACATTGCCACCTTACAGATGTCAGGAAGAGGCACTCCACGAACGAAAGCCGTAGAAGTAGAAACGGCTCTAGTAGAATGAGCATTAATGCCCTCAGGTAGAGGCTTCTTCCCAAGCTTGTAAGCTAGAGTTAGTTAGTTAGTTAGGCATCCTTAAGTCTCGAAAGACTATGGTACCGTGCTCTGTATGGAGGACTTGGAACAGCGTCTAGTGTGGCTGAGGAGGCCGATTCGAGAGTGACAGTCTCTTCCACACTGAAGACAAATCCAATCTGTGCCCTGTCCAGCTCCCTGGTTTTGCTGCTTTTGTGACTTCCTCTTTGCCTCAGCCTGCTGGGCAAGGGTCTCTTCAAATTGGGAGAGGCCGTGATGCAATGCCTGCCTCCAGGCTGAACGCTCAGATGTCAGGGTTTCCCATCTGTTGAGGTCCATTCCTAAGGCCTTCAGATCTCGCTTGCAGATATCCTTGTATCGCAGTTGTGGTCTCCCTCTGGGGCGCTTTCCCTGCACTAATTCTCCATAGAGGAGATCCTTTGGAATCCGACCATCAGCCATTCTCACGACGTGCCCAAGCCAACGTAGACGTCGCTGTTTCAGTAATGTGTTCATGCTGAAAATTCCAGCTCGTTCTAGGACTACTCTGTTTGGAACTTTGTCCTGCCAGGTGATACCAAAAATCCGTCGGAGGCAACACATATGGAAGGTGTTCAGCTTCCTCTCCTGCCGTGCACAAATGGTCCAGAACTCGCTACAGTACAGGATTGTGCTTAGGACACAGGCTCTATAGACCTGGATCTTCGTATGTGTCGTCAGCTTCTTATTGAGCCATACTCTCTTTGTGAGTCTAGAGAACATGGTGGCTGCTTTGCCAATGCGTTTATCCAGCTCGACATCCAGAGACAGGGTGTCAGAGATGGTTGAGCCAAGGTACACAAAGTCATGAACAACCTCCAATTCTTGTGTGGAGATGGTAATAGAAGGAGGTCAGTCCACACCCTGGCCCATGACTTGTGTGTTCTTCAGGCTGATTGTTAGTCCAAAGTCTTGGCAGGCCTTGCTGAAACGATTCATGAGTTGTTGGAGGTCTTCAGCAGAGTGGGCAACAATGGCTGCATCATCTGCGAAGAGGAAGTCCCGCATGCATTTCAGTTGGACTTTGGTCTTCGCTCTCAATCTAGAGAGATTAAAGAGCTTTCCGTCTGATCTAGTCCGGAGATAGACGCCCTCGGTTGCAGCTCCAAAGGCATGCTTCAGCATGACAGCAAAAAAGATCCCAAAAAGGGTTGGTGCGAGGACACAGCCCTG